CACCTAAATATTTTGTTACTGAAATTTAAAAAAAAATTATAATATTAGCAAATTGTATAATGAAGACATAATATTATCTATATAAATTACTATATAGATATATCCTCATTTCGTTGTTTAGTAAGATATAACCATTTTATAACCATAAAATAGGTTGGCCGGATCTTGAAACTATACATTAAAATAGTGTTTATGGTAATTTTCTTTTATACTTAAATTTTTTACTACACAGATCTCTGGCATTCTTAAATATAACTTAGTAAAAATACGCATATTTTTTTTGTCAAGTTATAAAGCAACCACCTTACTAAATGTTGTGGGATCAATGTGAATTCTTAAACTACGTATTGAAAATAATATAGCAAGCTATTTTTTTTGTATCTTTGTAAAAAAAAAATTTTTATATATGGTAACTTGTGCAAGTCTTTAACATATAGAAATTTAATCTAGAAAATTCTTCAATACTTTGTTGATCAATTACTATATTTGGTAATATCTGGAACTATAATAGTAGTAGCAAATAGCAAAAGTTAACTAGTTTGAAGATTGATAAGTGTAATAAGTTAACTACTTTAACAATTACTTATACCACTCTTGGTTATTTAAGTTTATCTAATAGAGCAAATTATAAAAATCTTAATTTAAGCAACATCCCACAATTCATGTTCAATGATAATATATTAAAAAGTCAAATAGAAAGATTAATTAACATGGTTAGAAATGTTAAGAGTACTGATGTTGGTGATCTAAAATTAGAGGCTAAAAAAATTGAAGAGAAATATTTGAAATACCAATTAGCTACTATTAAAGATAAATTTAAGCACCAATTAGTTGTTACTAATGATAAATTGAACAAAGATAATCAATCATGGTTAGAAGTTTTAGTAGAAGCTCAGCAAGAAGTTTTACAAGGTAGCAACACTTTTGCCTGAAAACTATTAGAAAAAATTAAAAAACAACTATCCAATGCATTAACTGATAAAGAAATCCAAAACATTTTAGGCAAAATAGTAGAGATTAATGAATTGGAAATTCAAATAAAGAACCTCGAAATTCAAGAGCAAGAAACTTCCAAATAGAAATGATTTTCTTGTTCTTTACTATAAGGATGTAAATAGACTCTCTTTTTATAGATAAATAAAAAGTTATTTTTCTACTTGTTAATATCTCAAAACTATTAGATATTAGATGGCTTATACTAATTTTGGAGATATTGTGATTGTTTTTTTGTTACAAAATAATTTTTTTGTTTGAAATTTTATTTACTATTTAGTTACTGTATTATCTTATTTCTCATTTATTTAGTCATATTTATATTATATTTTATCATCATTCTTATTTATATAAAAGTAACGATTTGTTAAAATTAGATTTTAAATGCTATTTTGCAAAAATACAGAATACTTGTATTTGCTCTGCAAAAAAATACCTAAATTCTAGAAAAGCTGGATTCTATTTATTGCTGTTTGCAAATTGATATGCCTTTGATAAAATTGGTAGATCACTACATGCAATTGCAATCGATTGTACGCGATTGTAGCGATTTCTCAGCAACTATCTGATCAAATTAGATGAATTTTTTTTTATTTGAATTTTATATATCTGTAGAATTCAAATAAAAAAAATTAATCGAATTTGATCAGGTGGTTGCTAAGATATCATCGCTCAAAGTTTTTTTTTTAAAAAATATCAATGTTTATCAACAATGGAAGCTGCGCCAAATTTTTCCTAGAACTTTGAGTGAAGAATCTCAACAACTATTAGATCAAATTCAATGATTTTTTTTTATTTGAATTCTATTAATCCATAGAATTCAAATAAAAAAAATT